ACATATATTCTCTTCTATTGGAATAAACAAGTTACACTGAAAAAGAGAGAGCGTGCGTGTGCATCAGAGAGAAGCAAATTCTTACTACACGAGTACCAAATATTGAATGATAATTTTAGGCAAGGCATCCACCCCAGAGAGAGGAAAATAGGCAGAAGATTGGTGACAATCTCTATTTCGAGTGCAATTGCAGTTTAAAACTTGTTTTGCAAAAAGATGAATCAGATTGCTTAAGTAGAGACACCCGGGGGAGGGGTTGTCAACCAATTCAAGAGCATGGCCATAATTACACCTGGCTAAAGTAGGACTGCCAAGTTTGTAGATAAGGCAGCTCAGTTGAGAGCCTGATATATAGAACAGATTGGAGTATCACGTAGGGGTGATGGTCTTATATGAATCTGGATTATGATATTAACGTTACATTATTATTTTATAGTAGTATTATACTTTGTACTATCCCATTCTATTATTATATTTTATTGTATCATGGATTTTGTGTGTTAGTTATTTGTTTCACCTTTGCTGATGTTTCTTATCCTTGTTGATATGGTTGTAAGACTAATCAATAAAGTTGAAGGTTGCTAAACCACAAACCTGGAATTCTTGGGCCAATTTTAAGCAATGAGGTTGTGCACATCTGAGACTTACCTCTCAGCTGTTACCAATAAGGCTTGTACCAAATTTTCTGGATTTCTTTCTGTTGTTCCTATTCACACTGAGGGAAAATACATTGCTTTAAATTTTGTGCATTAAAGAAGAAAATTTGGGTGAGATTTCATCCAATTCTCACTCCTCGCCATGAGGAAGTTCATCATTCTGGAGACAGTTGGCCATAAATGATCCAAGATTCCCAAAAGTTCAGCGTCCTCAGAATGTTTGCCCTGAAAGATACAATTTGTCAGACATTTCCACTGAGTTCCTCTGGAGCATTACTAAATTGCCATAAACAGATTAATGTCCAGAGAAGTCAACAGATCAGATTGCATTCCTTCATGTCTCTGCAAATTACAAAGATTAGGGATTAAGTCTGTCAGGGCTTGGTTGATGTTGATCGCTTCCCTGTGTCTTCTCATAATATTTATATATATTTACATAATATGTGTGTGTCCCAATTCTCTTCAGCTCTGTTTGGCTTCACAACTACTCCATGAGATGGGTTAGGCTGAGCAACCAAACTATTTGAAGATCCTCATGGCCATCCATGGATGTAGCTCCTATAAACCCTCACCATTTGTTGGTGTGGCTGATGGAAGTTGGAGTGAGCCAACATCTGGAGAAGTTACTTTTCCTTAAGGAAAGATTACACTCTGAGCTCATTAAGTGAGAGTGGAACCCAAGTCTGATGCTCTAAATCAATGTTTCTCAACCTTGGCAACTTGAAGATGTGTGGACTTCAGCTCCCAGGATTCCCCAGTCAGCATGCTGGCTGGGGAATCCT